CCGAATACGGCGTTTTCGAACAAGAAAACCCACCACCACTTTCCTTGTGGCTGCCGCTTTCTTTGCGTCCAGCGTTTTCGGCCCGGCTGTAATTGTTCCTTTTTTCTCATTTTATCCGTGGGGTTTCCCTTAATGCCGTTGCAAATTTGTTGAATCGATAGACATGGAGGAGGAAGGGGGAGGAGAGGGGTATGTGACAAGGCGTGCCTTTTTTGTTCCGATATGGATATGGTATAGGTATGGTATAATATTATATCGTGAGGTTCACAATTATGACGATGATAGTGTAGTTGTGTAGATACGGGGGGATAGAAAGTTCTATGCACACGGAGCGATTGACAATTTTTGCAACGTGGTTTGCGAAGTATCGCGAGTGATTTATGAAACGCGAGGAAGAAGGTAAATTTCATATTCGATGGATCGAATTAAGCATCCCGGGCAAGAAATCGAATCGAATAAAGATGGAATCGAAGGAGAAAAAAAAAAAAAAAAAAAAGATTGATCGCCGTAGTTCGATTATCGGAATGAAAACAAGTTCTTCCATGTTACGATTCATTGACTTACTACGTCTAGTCCGTAAAAAAACATCGAACTACCGGGAGATAAATCGGATCATCCAAGTTGATTCTTCTCGTTCTTTTCTCGTTCGATAGTTTTCTTTGAAAACGAGGGGGAGAGAGAGAAAAAAAGCAGTAACTTGATAAAAACGATGGTTTCTGTCACGAATGTCAAATTTTACGATGCACTATACCTCAATGGCTGCACAAACGATTTATAAACGTTTGTACGAACTCTTGAAACGATTAGTATTCATTGAACACGATATTTACTATACCGTTGTCGTTAATCAACATAAGTACAATAGGTATTCCGATTACTTAATGGCTTCATACACGAATAACGCTGACCTACTCGTTGTATTATGTTCGACGTGCAACGAAGCGAGCATTTCCGATTCACGTGTGTACGATACGAATCGAAACGATTCGTTCGATACCTGACCGAATAAAAATGCGCGATGTTCGTTTAAATAAGGAAATGTCATTTTTGAACGGAGAATTGTCGAGTGGATATGCTGAGAACCCTTGTTCAATTCGGTCATCCTTTCAATTGGAGCTGCTTATTTCAGATTGTTAAGTCGCGTTCACACCAAAAGTTCCAACGCATTCGGAATATACGCGATAGGTAAGTCATTAGATGTAATATTTTTAAGAAATATTTTTATACAAAAATATTTAAATAATCACTTTTTAATCAATTAATGATTCGTTTCTTTGAAAATGAAATCTTGTCTTCATTCGAAAAAATATTATATTACCCAATAATAAGATATAGGTTAATTATATATCGAATGATTATAAACTATTCTTGACTTCTTATTATATGACATTAATCCTCATTAATGATATTAAATCTATTATCAAATCATATTTTTTCCATTTAAATTAAAATATTTGAAAATGGTATGCCAATAATAAAATAAATTATAATAATAAAATATTCTATGTATTATTATTCTAATCTAATATATTTTTTCTTACAGTATTACTATAATTAAAATTTTCTAAACTTTAATCTATATTTTAATCTAAATTATTCTAAATTATTTATAATTACTATCTTTTTGTAAAAACATTGTAAATAATATAACCTAACCTAGCATCAGAATAGAAGAAAAAATTATATATTTAAACATCCAAATCCTGTCAAGTTTCACTTCCCAAAATTAACAGGTGTGACACGACTCGAAAACAAAGTGTTAAATGCGATCTCGGAATAGTTTAATTAATGAAAAGTTCAGTTTAATCAGAGGTTCGCGCTCCCGCTGAAAGGCGCGTTTACATGTATGTACGTATACGGTCGTACACGACATTAATCGCGCCGGTATGTGGCGACGACGAACAGTGCCGCCTACACAGTCACTTGACCTCCCTACGCCTCCGTATCTCTCAGTTAACCTTATCAACTCGATTCAACTCGACCTAACCGGTGTCAGGCCGATGTAGCTCGAAAGCAGACGCGCCGCTTACCTATATTCACGTTCCTTCGTTTTGCCATGGGACACCATAATATCTCGATTCACGCGCACCGAATAAATATCGAATGATTATCGATCCGGTCACTAACACTTGCAAACGTAAAAAGTTGTACAGAACGCTTAATTGGCAAATGACGTTTCGAATGTTGAAAATAATTAATTTTGAATGAATAATTCTTGATATTGAAAAAAAGTTTTATGAGAATTTTGGATATAGAATTATGTCTATAAAGTTTCGTGATAATTTTGTTGAGAGGTTAAGTACGAAAAGGAGAATTCAAGAAAGTAGAAAATAAAAATGGAACGATTGATGGGAAACAAAAATGGAAATATTTCAGATTGAAATCGAATTTTAACGAAGAAATTCTCCCTTTTATTCGCACGTCTCGTGAAATATCGCGACAACTCTTAGGGAGCTGTTCAAATTTGTATGCGTTGTAGATAATGTCGAACGGGGCTTGTCTCATTATTATCTCGTTTCGCACGAGTAATTCATTTTTATATATGTCGAAGTTTTGTTCAATGATTCACGAGCGTTTCACGCGATGCACCCGATCACATTTGAAATTCTCGGTTCGTCTAATTGTTCTGATTCTATTTGCATGATTTTTATCTTTTGATCGAATCGAAAAAAAATTGTTTTCAAATAAATTTCTAGATTATTCATTTTCGACTTTTTCCTTTTCCTTTTTCTTACTCGAAATGTTATCGTTCACAAAATTCCAATTTCTACTCAATATAGCATTGTACAACGATATGTTGCTCTCTATATTATTAGCAATTTATCTTAATTAAACATGATTGTTATAATTATTGATAAATCACTAAAATTTATCTAAATTTATTCATCTTGATTACATTATTACTAACTGATTCGTCTTAATTTATGCTATTTAAAATTCTTAACCTCTATAAATGTTATCGATAAATGAATCAATCGATAATTATTATAATGAATATAAGTCATTGGATAATTACGTAAGAAAGAATCATGCATAAATAAAATAATAATTTAAAATTTCTTCATAATTTTTGTCATATTACGAATTACAAATAACTTTATTATATGATATAAAGAATACGAAAAATCTTACCAAAAAAGATGAATGTAGTTCAATGGTCGCAATAGAAGACTACAAGTTCGTTGATGTAGAAAAAAACAAGAATTTCAAAACTTATATCGTTCACACAAGTTATAACACTCACATAATTAAAAATTTAAGATATATTTACTAAAAATAATTGCACTAATTAACAACTGAATATTAATACACAAAAAGCGCGGGATTCTCGACAGGCGTGACTCAGCCATCTTGTCCTACTAATGACTTCGAAATCAAAATAGTATTAAATTTCCAAATATATATAATTATTAATTGATTTGAATTTTATTTATAAACTATCAAATATTTATAAAATAAAAATAATTATTAATATTAAACTTATTTTAATTTATTAATTGAATATTTTAATATCATTATATAATTAAGTATTGAATATGATATACATGTACATGACGTGTACATGGAAATAGAATACGTTCGTCAAAAAATTTCAAGACAAAGCTATGTTATATAAAAGTAATACGCAATAATATTTACAAAACAAAATAGATGCGTATTTTAATTTTAAAATTCTAATTAAAAATTATAACGAAAAATTAACGATAAATCTTAACTTTTATATACATAGTAGTTTCATTTAACATATGTTTTGACAAACGCATATCAAGAAGCAAACGAAGCATCTGTTCATAACCTGTGCCGTTATTCATAATTATTATTTTCTTTTTTATATTTTAATCTTATTTAAAATATTGTTTATATATATTATTATATTTATCATTTTTTTCTATGGTTTCGTAATCTTGTTCTATTTTATCCCGGTTTTATTCTACTTGAAAACATGATTGAAATCTCATCAAATATCAAGGAGAAAAAATTTCATCCATTCTCGAAACAAACACGATCTTTGTCAAATATCATTCCGAAGGATCACACGAAACGAAAAAGGAGAAACCAGGGATAGGATAACCAGAAGCAGGGGTGGTGAGTATCAATCTAATAGTAATGAGCAGTGATGCCGAGCGGAAGACTTTGAAATATACATTATGCGGGGATTATGTTTATGCATGCGGGAAAGGCGGCGAGAGCATTTTTCTTTTGATATGCCTTTCGCGGCTCCCGCGAGGAGCATCTTCGCGCGGTGGCTATGAGATTTGAATAAAAGTATCTGGCCAAGTCACTCTGCCGGGGAGCAATTCGCCAGCTGCTTTTTACAACTGCGTGCTCTCATTAAATATGTATAGATTCGCGCCCCGAGCATGTTCCCCCGGATTCGGCCGCCCCCTTCGATCCTCCATCGCCCCTTATACCCCGGTCCGATAATAGAACCGCGCGAACGATTACGAAAAACATATGTTTTAAAAATTGCACGCCGCGGGACAGATATATCGTAGCCGCTATCATTTTTTTCAAAAGGAAATCTGATCCGCGATTCCGCGAGTAGGAGGCATAGTAAATTATTGGAAAATAGAAGGGGAAAACGGATGATACGATAGATTGTTCATATATTTGAATAATTTTGAGATTTGTCGAATAAGCGCGCCATAATTTTAATAAGTTATTTAAAAATAGTAGAGATAAAATTTACGATAAACTTTTTATTTTCGTTATCATCTTTCTTTGTTACCAAATTTAATTTGCAATTATTTTTTATTATTTTATTAATTCTCAATTTCATATTATTATATAATTTCATGGCGAAAAATAATAATAAAAGAGATAACATTAAAAATATACGAAGCTTGCTACGGCAATTTCACGGGTCCCAGACAATAATGAAAATTACAATAAAGTGCAATATATGAGTAGAATTGGTACCCTAAAAGAAGAGCTCCCTTTGTCCCAAGAGCGATTTATTCATAAACTGTAACAATCACGATAATGCGTACCTTGTATACAGAAATGACTTGCCCAATAAAACCAGATGGAAGAAGACAAAAAGGTAACAACGTGTAGCACAATGAAACTCGCTGATTCCTCTGTCTACGTATAATTTCCTCGATATTCGATTGAATTGCAAATAATTACGAAGAATATACCGTATGATTTAACTTTTTAACACGGTCCTCCATCTTACATTTCCAGATCGATTAACTTGGGCTCGCTACCAGTTAGTCAGTCAATCATTAGGTAATGAGGCCGTGTTTGGAAGCCAGCGTAACTGGACGTCGATTGTCCGTATAAATGTATTGCCGTCCGCATAGAATAGGGCTGCCGATCTTATCGTCACGGTTTCATGTAATGCTAATGGACGCGTGGTAGCCCAATATGTACTTTAAACGAAAAGGTTAATATGATAGCGAGATAATGCGCGGACATTAAGGAGCCGGACGAGGAACGGCGGACAAATTATGAAGAGAACCGTCTCGAAGAAACGAGATCTCGTTTGCTGCGAACCCTTCAAGGTAAGAAAAGAAAATGGATCGCGAAGCAAATTGTCATTCGTTGTAGTTTGAACGGAATCGTTTATTTCCTTCTTAAGAGAAACTTGTTCTCAGATATTTAACTTCTTGTTATAATTTTTCATTTTCGTAATTATCGAGGATGAGAATCGATTATGTGGGTAATCAATTTATTACGAACTTGTGTAGTAATTATGATAAATATATAGTAAATATAATTCGGCATTTTATAAAATTAAAAGTTGAAAGATAATGAAATTAATTATAATTACATATAAGTTTTTTTTTTCTTTTATAAAACTCTTTACTTACTTTTCGAATGAAAAATTTCGATTTAAATCTCGCAATTTAGCAAGCAAAATGCCCGTACATTCTTTATTAAGATGCAACGTCCCCGGCGGTTTCATTTCTCCTAGGAACAAATGGGCCGCAAGTTATCACCCCGAGAGAGAGAGAACGCGACCCTTCCATTTAAAAAATGTAAATTTGTTAATGCAACAGTAGTGGGAGAAGCGTGAAAATTTGCCCGACAACCCTGCCATTTCTTCAGCTTGGTTCGTAGCCACCCTATTACCTGGGACTATTATCCAATACAAAAAATCAAATAAAGTATGCTAAGTTACGCTTCGAAGACTTTAGGGAGTCAGCCGAGAACTGTCGAGGGGTTGTAGAAACATTTTTTTCTTACGCCCTTCCCCGACCCTAGAAACGTTCGCCCAGCTACGTTCTGCCAACACCCATCGGCCACTTACACGCTTTCTTCGTCGCTTCCTATTAACTTTCAACAGGGTGTAAGAATTAAACGAGTCTTAAAGCCCGGCTCTCGCGATTTATAGGCAGACGAACGTGAAAATTGCCTCGACAAAATCTCGCGAAATATTCCTTCATATCGTCCGTTCGAGTACGATCGATTATTTAATCACGATAAAACAATCACGTAAAATCGATTGTGTTCCATCACGTGTGATATTTCGAGTATTATTCTATTTTATTTTAGAAATATTTTTGTTTCTTTTTCAGTGGAATTGGAAACTGAATGTTCTCGATTAAAAATATGAAATCGACAAGTTTTTCAAGTTCGCGAAGACGATAGTGAAGAAATGGAATATTTATTGAAACAAAATATTTAAGGTAAGACTGATAATTCTATTTTGTTTAATAGATAAATATAAAAGCGAATGCGATATGCACGGAAAAAGCAAACGAGCATCGATTCTATCGCGAAAATCACCGTCATTCTTATGAGTACAAAACGTTCCTATCTCGTGATCCTCATATCACATAAATGGATATAACTTTCTACTAACGACCAGCTACGCAATATCGGGCTACGATTTTCTATCGTTGCATAAGCTGTAATAAGGTTGACGTAATGGGACCAGAAAAAAAGTATTGATCCAAACTCCGCGAAGCACACCGCGAAAGTTTGATAAAAACTCACATTTCACGCTTCGATAGGTTTCATTATAGTCGATACATATTATTCGATGTTCTTCCACGTGATAAAAAGAAGAGAAAAGTAGCAGGAGTTCTACGCTCAGATGACGTTTTCGAATAAGCTTATATCGCGATGTATTTGCTTTTGAAACGCGAGTGATAAACATCTAACGTGGATGAAAATCGATATATTAAATAATATATCGAAACGAAACGAAACGTACCCTTAACGAAAATCATTGGTATCTGAATCCCTTCACGGAGAATTTTTGTGTTTACAGGATCAAAGGAATCGCTGGGTATAATAAAGAAAGTAGGTGAATTTCGAAATAAAGATGCGATCTCGCTCAAGAGACAGCCGAGTGACTTATGTCAAATGTTCTCGACGACATTTAACGCGGATTATAAAAACAAGGACTCGATGAACGTTGTTGAACGAAGAGCAGGGACAGTTGCTTCACCGTGCCATTAAAATACGCACTTGTTTCCTCGAACATGCACACACGGCCACTTTTACTGCTTTCCAGCAAATAACGACAAATATGGTACTTTGTGGCTCAAACTTAATATCTGATCGTTTGTGAAATACGCGGCGCATTATTGCATTCCACGTTGTCGGACCTTGACTTCGTCCAAGATATAGTTCTCGATTTATGAGAAATATCTCCACGGCTGCGATCACCACTGAATGCTATTGGAATTCTACCGAGAATTTAGTCGTTTGAAAAAAAAAAAAAAGGGCTATTCAGTTACAGATACGCTTTCTTGTCTGCGTTACATATAGCCAACCGTGGAATACCGGTAGCCTCGAACAATCCAGTTTCTTGGAAGTTCTTTTCACGAACGTTTTAGAAAACAACAAAGATTACCTCGAATCGAAGTAAAGGGAAATGTAAATTCTTTGAAATACAAAAAAAAAAGATTTTTAATGCGTGATATTGGATATAACAATTAATAAAATTTGTTGTTATTATTTATAGCGTTTGGATTTTATGTTTCAAAACGTTTTTATTTTTGATACGACTAACTGAACGATGAACTTTAAACCACTAATGGCCTTGAAAGTGCATCGAAATAAAACGTAGGAAAGTAGCGTGTGCAAGTCGTAGACTTCTCTTTTTCTCAATGGGCGTTTTTCAAACTAATTAAAGCGGATATTAAATCACTTCTACGGTGCACACCCTTCGGTTTCACTGACGTACGACCTATTAATTAACGTTACCGATGCTGCAGAATATTACTTGTCTCAAGATTCTAGAGATATTTCTTTTCTATTGGATAATCAAAAATTTAAAAGAAAAAAAACCCTCGAACACAATTCTTCCAATTTTTCACAATTTTCACCTAAAAATCTCCATTTATAAATTTTCTAAAAAAAATAAAGTATTCAAATGATCTCACATTTATACACTATTTTTATTTACAGATTACCTCACGATCACTCGTCAAATTTCTTCAATTTTAATTCTTCAAGAAACGAGATCGAGTATTTCGAGTAGCGTGGCGTCGAAGTTCGGGAAAAAGGAAGCGGACAGGGGCGGTTAGCCGGTCCGACAAAGGACGAGGATCCCTGAGGAGGCACGGCACGAGTGGGTCAGTGACGTCGGGCACGGGACAGCTTGCATATCGAGGGATCAAGGAGGGGAGGAGGGAGACACCGGGCCCTCCTCGAATGATCTTGACTCGAGGGAGAGAGCGAGTCGATCGAGGCGTTGGCGCGAGCGAGAGACGCGGCTGGGCCGCGGGCGAGTTGTATAATATGAACGCGGCGGGCCGCGGCGCAGTTTCGGCAGGCTATAATCAATTCTGATTGCAGTCCAGCATCGCAGCGCGATCCACCGGCCCGATAGCTGAGAAAAAAGTTCGCGCTTCCAACTACCGGGCTGCCCAACGTACC